TCGGAGTCGGATTCGCCAAAATCTTACTGGCTCCGACTCCGGAGTCGGAGTTAACGCTGCATGGCTCAACGTCATGCACTGCACCTTTTTGATTGACGATACTACGCTCGAAATTCGATTTTGTCGAAAAAAGACCATTTTGCTGTTTTGGACCAACGTTTTCAGCGAAAGAAGCAGAAGACGGTGAATTCCCCAGAACCTGCTTTTTAATTCTGCATGCTATTTATAATGCATATTTGCAACGCAAAGCCTTGGAACGCACAAGGGATCGTTTCAGGCAAAATAGAACATCTCCATTATGCTCTTTAATATCATGACATCGATTTTAATAGAACCCTCTGGAAACGGAGCCGACTTTTGAAGCCGGAGTCGGAGTTGGAGTCGGAGTCACCCTAAAACCATCGACTCCAGCCGGAGCCTTTTGAAAAGAACGAACTATAGTTTTTAAAATGTCATGGATGTTAGGTGGTCATTGGACGGTCATGCGTTTTTCAATTCCACGCCAGCCTTCATTATATTTATAAAGTATGCAGATTGCAGAGCATATTCATCATTTCATTCCGTAATCCGTAAGTGATAAATTTAGCCATAGGACTCGTCTTTGAATTGAACTCTATGGAACACCGGAACAGCACATCACGAAAAACAATGTGGACACTGTGATACATTTTCATCTATTGTTTATCACAACTTCCCGTCACAGATAATTTGAGTAATTGTTGCCGACCTCGACTCCGGGCGTTCATGACAAATAGCTCTATTATCTGGCAGAGAGATCTATTTCATATCAAATCTCCAGGAAATATCCCGACTGGAGGAAGACTAGCCCGGCGGGGTCAATAGGTACGCTCATTGGCCCGCACTGGCTCTGCAGGCATGCACCAATACGACACAACTAGCAATCGCCGGCAATTTATGGACAATACGCTCTAATACCTATAGGAGAAAAGGGTCAAATGATACGGGGATAAGCAATTACATTAATCGTAATAACGTCAACAAACGATTTGTTTATTCATTTTTTTGCAACATCGCCAATAGGCATATCCCATTGAAAACGAAGTCCAAATGTCAGTTAAAAAACCGCTGGCATTGTTTCATTCTTTTTCAATGTGTTAACCCTCGCGGGCCCGGGGGGGGGGCGTTTTTCGCCCCCCTGGCGAATATTTGCGATAACTCCCGAACGCTTAGGGATAGGAAGGCGAAACTTTCAGTACCTTTTCTCCCATCAATTTGACATCTTCTGAAGTAAAAAATTTGGACCTAGCCCCCTTGATGACGTCACAAGGTCCATTTTTCTAGACCCCTGCACGGCAAACTTCGGCGTCACAGACGCAAACTTCAAATAGCTGCTAAAAATAGAGTTTTAGAGATAAAGACAAATTACGAGCACAGCTGTGTAGCGTTTGACCTAGAGAAAAATAGAAAAATAGTTTTGGTGACCTGAGGTCAGAGGTCAGGTCAACGACCCCGAAATGTGGTTTTAGTTTTTCGCAAATAACTTCGACAAAAATGGTCCTAGAGCTACGGCAGTGGTACCATCGCATTTGCCTTGTCAAGCCGCGTCGAATGATATATATTTTGTTCGGAAAAGGTCAAGTTTCATGTTGACCTCATGTGACCTCGAATGACCTCTTGTTGACCTTGACAGATGAAAGGTCGTTTATGATGGATTTGTACCCGCTGATCACGAATCTGGCATCTATTTTCCTCTAAGCCTTCATTTAGAGCTTCCGGATGGCAAAATTGTCTTATTTATTATTACTAACTTGAATCAGTGAAATAGCCTCTAGCAGGGATACTCTTCTGTGACCTTGACCTTTGAGCAGCCTTGTATCGTAAGATGAACCACAAATAGGGAACTGATAAGCCTCAAAACATTTCAAAACATCTTGGAAGTTAGCACGCAAGATGTGCGAAAAAGTGCCAAGTTTGAGGTCAATTTTTAGCGTGATCTTGACCTTGACCTTTGATTTGGAGCACATTTTCAGAATCCTCAGATTCTCTTCTTTCGTTTGACACCCAATTTTGTCGGTTTGATGCAGCCTGCCGTCCTCTAGAAGGCTTACTTTGAGATCACTACACATGTGCCGGTTTTGGCCTTTGACCTTGACCTCTGACCTTGAAAATTGACCTGAGGTCAAAAATTTTAGGTGCATTAGAATTGTCTCGTAAGGACCTTTCGTTTGGTATCGCTTTTGTTTCCGTAACTCCCTTATTTACGGAGTTAGACAGGGGGGTGGGCGAAAAACGCCCCCCCCGGGCTGCGGTGGTTGGGATTACCCCCCGGGCCCGGCCGGGTTAATGTGTGAAATAACAAAGGGATGTTTACCGAGCTGTCAATGGAACAACACTTTTTCTTGCCCTGATTTCAAGACTTGAAATGTTATTTAGGATGGTATGTACCACGCATGTGTGGCAAAGGTATTTGCTAAAATGGTAAACATGCTTTTGCTTTGCCCTATCACCTTAAGCATTAAGTCAGCCCAGCATTTATGATTTTCATTTTTAAACACATCATTTTATCTAAAGTAAACAGTCATTTTAAAAGGCAATTTTTCACTATGCTTTTACTTTTCTCACAAATCCTCCCTGTTGGGTACTGTCATCCTGTTATGATTTAAATGCACTGTTGATGCAGGGCTTTAACATGGTTCATTACCTTTGTCAATGTTTCATATAAATCATAGGCAGTGAGCGAGCGGAGCCTTGGCTGAGCCAACGTTTATTGCAGAAGTATACTCTGAGCAGCGATCGGTTGTGTACTCAAAATAAACGAAAATACGTGCTCTGTAATGCGCCATTCTCTCGTCGAAAGGCCTTCTTTTAATGAATCAAATACTTGCACCACAAACACTTGCACCACAACACTTTCTGCTCGTAGGCCAGCCAGGCACATCATGTTGCCCTATTTACATGTCATAAAAGTGTGCCCGGTTCGGTCCTGCAGCCAGGCCGCACCTGTCAGGTCTCCGTGCCGTGCACAGGGCGGCCAAAGGAGCCGTATCGCAAACCAGGACACATCCAGGGGTCCCGTTCATCGCATAGAATAATAGCGGCTGTTGTCATGCACCCCAGTCGCATAGATACTGTTGTTTGCGGGAAATTATGGTATACAGAGTGCCGGATATTCTGGTATCGCTGCCCTCCATTTAGTGGGTAATGTTTTCAGGGAAAATAGCTCTCCATTACGCATCTTTGAACTGATATCAGTGAAGATTATCAGTTGCATATTATTTCGCAAGTCGCATCAATAAACAGGCATTTGCTTTAAACAATATATTAGGAGCTTCAAAATGCAATGCCATTGGTAAAATCGCTTATTCAAAGTAGAAAAACATTATTGCATGATATCAGTGCACTTGGCAAGCAAATCATACAAGTAATGAAAAGAGAGGTGAAAAACAGCATACTAAGTACTCACAACTGTTACAATCAAGCGAAATGCATATTTTGACGATAAATTATAACCCAGTCTCCCGCAGAGGGCACTGTCAGCCGAATTTCTATGCGGTGAGCCATTTCTAAGTGCTCGCCGAGCCGTGCTGTGACTGTTCCGGGGAGAGCCGTCTCGGCGATCGTCGGTGGGTCGGCGCGCGTCGGCCGGTTCCCATCGGTGCCGACGGCGGGCCACGGTCAGTCAGTGCGGGCTGCGGCGGGCCACGGTCAGTCAGTGCGGGCTGCGGCGGGCCACGGTCAGTCAGTGCGGGCTGCGGCGGGCCACGGGGCTGCAGGTCGTGTGGGCTGCAAAGGACCGCGGAACTGTATGGACTGCGGCAGACCAGACCGGTCACAGTGCGTGCGGACAGGGCCACCGGCACGGCGGGTGGAGTGGGCTGGAGAGAACAGATAGCGTGGTCGGAGAGAGGACAGAGAGCACGACTGGAGCTGGAGAACAGAAAGCGGGACTGGAGCGAGGACAGGGAGTGTGACAGGAGAGAGGACAGGGGCAAGTAGTAGAGCGGAGGAGGACTGACCAAAGTGAGTCAGAGTGGATACCATTCGCACTGGCGACTGGATGGACATCTATCGGGACAGCAAAAGGCGGATGAGTTTAGAGCAATGATGGTACAATAGTCAAATCACTCGACCAGTTTGGTGATTTATGACATTTATATTTCACAACGGTTCTGGCCATGGTTAGTACGCAAAGGGCAAATATCACGAGCTGCAGAACATTGGCCGGTCTGGTGAGATATTTACGCGTCAGTGCTCTTGGACAATAACCAATGACGACCAATGATATGACCAATAATAGCCGTTTTCACGGCGTCCATCTGGTACACATTTGGTGCAGATTATGTGCAGATTTGGTGCAGAGTTGGTCAAAAATGATCATCGTGTTTCTTAAAGATTGTCAGTTCTGGTTGAACAGATAATCTCTTTTTTCAAAGTATGATCCATTATTTTCGGTTAAAACACAGAAATAAATTCATGATATGAAGAAATTTGTTGTAAAAGAGATTTGGTGCAAATTTGGTCAAATTAGGTGTATTCGCCAGATAGCCCGCCGTGAAAACGGCTAACAATGGCCACTTATATGAAAATGACCAATAATGCAGCAGGATTCAGACAAATTATATCAAGCTGCATGTGCTTAAAAGCTTGTCTTCCTGTCATTCGTGATGGTGTTTAATGTGTACATACTTAGTTATATGATAGTCGAAAGACTGCTATTTTCGTTTGGCACTGTTCTCGGAATATTCAGAGCCGATACTCAACCATACAAGTCGAGATTGCTTCACAGCACACTAATACCACAAGCCACGGTTCGTAAGAGAACACAGTCATATAACAGCTTCACTTCTGAGCATGTATACCCTGGTTAAGTTAGCTACATTTTTTTCTATCGATCCTGGTAATACTGAGGACGACTTTTGCAATGAACACAAGCTACAGGCGATCTCCAATTACCCCCGTTTGATAACTCGTGCGTCTCATTCTTATTCATCTTCCACTTCATCGGCTCTCGTCTGACAAATGTTTGACCTTGCTTGCAGATACGTGATGCTGCGCCGGTGATCTTCAAGCTGATCTCATGAAGCCTTTGTTTCACGCATGGTTTCAAGCCTCGCGCACAGACCATTAACTGCTGGTCGGTGATATTTTCTCGGAGTCTGCGGGTCGGTCCGGCGGACATCGCAACAGAAGTGCGTCCGCAGTTTTAGACGAGTTCACAGTCTGTTCGGAGCCACAGTGGGTTCACAGTGCGAGTGGAGCCAGACAACCGGAGGGTACACGTGGTGCGGGCCACTGACCTCAGTCGAGGACTGCCGAGCGGCCCATGGACCGTGATGTAGGTGTAGACCAGAAATGCCGCGCTGGATTTCGCTAATAGGACTGTGTGACAATCTGTGCGACAGTGCTTCCCAGGAGAACTGAGTTAAAGTTGTTCCAATTTTAGACCGTTCTCCCTAGACTCCGGGGGTGGTCGTAGCATCACTCAGTTCGTCTGAGGACGTCAGAATTAATTCCGACTCGAGGTTAGCAGTACAAGAGGCAGCGCTGAGCACGAGCGGGACTCAGCAACGAGCCTATCACCAGGCCCAGGACCAGACTCAGTGCCAGGCACAGCACCAGTGACAGCACCAGCCCCAGCACCAGTCGCACCACTGGCGGCGGCGCCATGTACGGCCTGCTGCTGGAGAACCTGGCCGAGTACATCAAGGTCGGCTACGGCGAGGACATGTGGGAGACGGTGCGGCGCGAGGCGCTGGTGGACGTGCCGTCGTTCTCGACGCACCAGGTGTACCCCGAGTCGCTGATCCCGCGTCTGGCCAGGGCCGCCTGCAAGGTGAGTGAGCGGGGAGCCGCGCCGCGCCGGACCTGTGAACTTTTACACCGCGACAGACGCCGTAAATCAGAGCGCCCCTGTGGTATTAGAATCCTGGACGATGGATGACAGTGAGCCCGGCCGGCCAACGCGACGGCTCAGCTCTCGAGGGGACGCTGAGCGCTTAGTGATTAGTGATAAAGGAGACGCAAAACCGGTCACATCTTTTGGTTTCACTGGGTCTAAGGTTCTAGGTCAACAACACATATTATGATTTAGGATGGGAATCACAGCATTGGATGCAGAGTGCTCTGCGCTAATTTCATCCTTCACATGGCTGATGTTCTGTCTGTGTTCGGGTCGTGGAACTTGGAACATGAACATCGGAGACTACTGGTTGGATGATGGACAAAAAGTGTGCTGGGATACATCAAACTCGGCAATTATTTCTCATACTAAAACAGATGTTCACCGCAAGTTTGCGGTACTTTGGTATCAGAATGTGTTTCTTGGAAAGCAAATTCCTCGAGTAATACGTAGAAAATACTTTCCGGGAGCATACGGAATGAGTGACGGTGCATCCGTCACTCTCTGACTGGCCGGAGCTACCGCCGATCAAATATCAGTCAAATTAGCGCAAACTGTCGGACAACACTCGGTCAGACTATTGTGATGTAAGGCCCGGCTCGGACCCCAGCTGCCTCTCTTGTAAGCCGTTTTCGGAGTGCAGTTCTCGGGGCGGGTGTCGGCCGCGGCTCATATGGGCCCGGTGCCGTGTACAGAGCACCGATCCGTCACCGGAACACGGTCCGATCGATCCGTCTCTCCGGGCCAGCGGCCGGTTCAGCGCAGCCCTTCATCAAACAGACACCGGCACACGTGTCAGAGACGCACAGAACCGATTTCCAACACTGTTAATCTGGACTCACAAATCAGTGTGAAAAATACCCAGCATCAAAGAGCGTTGAAAGAATTCCCAGTAGAGCTCAAGTTAGGGCAGCCAATATTCTCCCTAACTCCCATGTAAAAGATGATCTGTATTGAACGAACCAAAACAGTTGAAAGATGATTGACCTACGCTCTTCAATCTATCGTAAAACATGTGATGATCAAAAAGTCATTGAAAGATAAACATCAGCTGAAAAATGAGAACATTATTGATTGTTCTTTTAAAGCTGGTTTCCGGAGACCCTGCAAACTGCTATGAGATCGTTTGATTATTTCCGCAATCTCTACTTTGGTGATTGGTGTAGATCGTTTGTTAACATTACGACCACGAAAGGATGTTGAATGAAATGACTGCTTCAAATGAAGTGGCGAAGAAAGAATGGAACAAAAACATTGTTGCAAGTTTCCACGACATAATTTCCCTATAGTCGACACTGCCGTAGTTAACCCTCGCCCGCACATGCCATTTTCCCATCCTAGAACGCACATGGGGGGGGGGGGGGGGAGGTTGCCACCCCCGCGCCATTTCGTTCCTGTTGGAGATAGAGCTTAGCGGTAAAGACCAAAAAGATTCTTTGGGAAGAGACGAATCCAATGATACCCAGTTTTACCTTCTCAGGTCAGTCATTGACCTTCCAGGTCAGGTCAAACTAAAAAATGTTGCTGTTTTGGGTCACCGTTGGATATCAAGTGCGCTGCTTATCAAATACCGATGACGATGCTGTTTTCTGGTGCCAAGCCAGCTAGAACCTCTTTGTCACACTACCCGACCAGAATTTTGCTGCTGAGGTCATTTCAGGTCAAGTTAGGTCAAGGTCAATTATATGTGTTTGTATGTCTGTGTGTTTCTGTGTGTATACTGATGTGCGCACCGATTGTTTTTGGGTCCATATTACATGAAATCATGATCTGAGAAGCTTTCACCAGAAATGCAGTCAAAAAACTTCAAAAAAAAGTAAATTCAGCTTGCCTAAAACGCCACTATCTTAGATGACCTAGGTTGACCTTGACCCTGACCTTGACCCCTGTACATCGTCGAACAACATGTTCATTGATAGGTGGGAGGTAAGACTGGCAAAAAAGGCCGAAATCAGGGTGTCAAAAGCTCATAAGGCCCATGGCAAGCGCAAGATGTTGAGAATTGGCCATTTGGGTCATGACATGACCTGAAAAACAAGGTCATATCTCCAAAACCAAAAAATCACAGAAACTTGAAATTTTCAGTGGACATCAAGAAAGGATAGAGGAGCAGCTATACGAAAAATCAGTTTTCTAGCTCTAAAAATGTTGAGTGCAGAGCAGAAAGACTACCTGGGGGGGCCCCCATGTGCGGGCGAGGGTTGCATATATTCGGAAAAAGATGGCGTTCTATTTAGCAGAGCTGAGGAGAGAGAGAGAGAGAGAGGGAGAGAGAGAGAGAGAGAGAGAGAGAGAGAGAGAGAGAGAGAGAGAGAGAGAGAGAGAGAGAGAGAGAGAGAGAGAGAGAGAGAGAGAGAGAGAGAGAGAGAGAGAGAGAGAGAGAGAGAGAGAGAGAGAGAGAGAGAGAGAGAGAGAGAGAGAGAGAGAGAGAGAGAGACTTTAAGGGTAAACTTTATAGCCTATCTGCCATGTACTTACCATGCATCTTATCCTTTGACATATTTGAGTCGAAGCTTCAGTGATCATCCCAGCGTCGTAAAAATACGATGATTTCATGCAGGCCTGTGAGCTAAGGCAGCTTAGCTCTCTGGAGCCAACCCGCTAAACTGGATAAACTGAGAAGTGAGAGACAATGCTATTGCTGACGTTTTGAAAATCTGCTTGGACTCAATACGCTTGTCTCATATAGCGGAAATAAGCAACACGCATGTGCTCATTTTTATGGAAGAATTTCAAAGTCCCGAATACAAATTCCTTTGAATAGTTGAAGGAAGGAATTCGGTACTGTACACTTCCTAAGTTCCTAGTTAAGTTGACATCGTTCGTTGACCTACAGCAAACATTGTCAGAGCAGTCAAATTCATATTTGAACCTTATCCGCAGTCTCGGGCCGATAAAGAGCTTAACTCGGACAGGTGATCAATTCACCGTTGTTAACTCGTGGCCAGATGAATTCCCGAGCTGCCCGCGGCATTCGAACCATTTTGGACGCACAATGCCCATCATCCACTCCCACGCAGTGACGTATTGTTGAAATATGCATGCATTCAAATTTTAAACTAATCAAAAATGGAATACCGCAAATAGTGATCTAGATCGAGAAAACCAGCTTGAGACAGCATATCTTGACATATTTTTTTTTCTTGCGCAGTCGCTATGAACATAAAATACCCTACAGGCTACAACTGTCTCGTACATGAACACACCTACGCATTCCTGACATACATAAGCGTCATATCCCTGTCAGACGTAAACCCAGGACATAAATGCCAACACGCAAACATGGCACAACGCACATCTCTGCTCAAATGCGTAGAACAAATAGGAACCCAATTTTTATCGAATTCCAACGAAAACATAGCGCACCCCTGTTTGAACCATCCATACCCCACCATTCATATTCGCTCGTTCGTGCGTGTTCGAGTGACAAATTGGCATGGCAGTTGGACAGCATTTCGCTTCCTTCTTGGTTCATTATTTTATATTATTAGCGAAGTAAAAGCGTTGCTAACATGCTGTTTATTCTTTATAGAGCACAACTGTGAAATGTTTTTAGGTGACCGAGAATGTATGTATAGGCATTAGGAATTTAATTTGTGGCACGCAGCCAGCCCAAAACAGATGCCAGAAAAACACAAGGTTTGCTTTTACTGACGCTCGGGCGCCGTTTCAGATTCTCAACCTCAAGGAGCAGGAGTTCTTTGAGAACATGGGCGTCTACTTTGTGGGCTTCGTCGGCCAGTACGGCTACGACCGGGTGCTCTCCGTGCTGGGGCGGCACGTGCGCGACTTTCTGAACGGTGAGCAGAACCAGCCGTCGGCGCCGCTATCGAACAGACCGACCGCGGCCCGCGTGGCGGGGGTGTGGTTACATAACGTGACCTTAGAGCTGTGGAGTGGAATTTTTCACTGAACCCAGGTCCGGATCTCTGCAACTTCTCAGCAGAGTTGTGGACCATATTTTTAGTGTGAATAATAAGCGATCTACTTTTGTATGACCATGATCATACATATTTACATATTCATGCATGGACAACTACTTACATTGCCTGTATAAATTATTTTTTTTTTGTACATGGGAAGGACAATTTTTTTTAAATATAGTCTTAAAAGGATGTCATAATATTACCCAAACCCGGATGCTTGAATACGTATTATTAAATCATTACTATTTACCAGTTACAACCGACTGCCCACTGTTAACGGAACTTTGGCACTAGCTTTTCTGATAATTTCATTTCGATCATTTCTATCACAATACGGCGGGATTAGCAAACTGCCCCGTTATATGTGTGAAGAAAGTATTTCACAGACTAATATCGGCTCTCATTCTTTGAGGACACCCTACCCCTCCACTCGGTGTCGGGCCAGTATGCTGTCACCCGCTGGCCGTTCCTCCGCAGCCTGGTTCAATAAAGGCCCTGCGGCCACAATTCAGCACAGGGAGGGGCCGAGCGGCCCCACGTGCCGGCGGCCGGGTCACGCACAAACGCAGCCCGTTGGAGCCGGCGACGGGCGCCGAACGGCTTCATCTCGGCACGCCGTCTCATTAATGGTCCGTCGATCAATGGTGACCGGGCTGCCGGCGACAGGTGCTCGGCCGAACAAATGGTGATCGGCAATTCATTGGATGTCCAATAGTACAGCCAGCACTGCAGACACAAACGCTGGACCAAATCCACCCTATAGCCGGATGGAGAGATGATCCGATTTCGCGGCGGAATGCTGGCGACAGCTCGGTTTGAGCCACTCGCTATTTGCTCCTGACGGGAATGGCCACTGGTCAATGGAAGTGGTCGTTTGCAGGCCACATGAAGTCTGCCATTGAGATGGGTCGCGCTTGGCATCTGTGGACACGCTAAGCGCTCGACCCGAAATTTTCCCGCCTATGCCAGGGAAGGCCCGATCGCCCAAGGTAACATAAACGTCATTTATTTTTGTCAGAAATTGTTTTGTCACGTACTCACTTAGTCATAAAAATCGCCACCACAAACATGCTTAGGAAACGTTGAAATTTGTTTGAGAAAAAACGAAGTCTCTATGTTAATGGATGTGTAGTCTCTTTTAACTTTTCCCGGTGCTGCCTGTCTTGTAAGTCGGCATGTATAGATCACTAGGACCAAACAAATTTTAGCCTCAGAATTATATCAGGGGAAGTAATGTGATGACTTTTAAGACCAGATAATGCATTTTACATATCATAATTAGAGGTCAATGGAGTTCCGGTTACCAAATAGCCATGCGATTCTCGCTAGGGAGAGTTTCCCGGAAAACATTTTGGGATTTACATAATCCCTATCAAAGTGCAGAGTTACATTATGCTCGGCGCTGCTAAATAGAATAAAAAGTTACTATAAACATAGGAGAGCTTCCAGTGGAGCTATTATTTATGATAAAAGTATTAATAGCAGAAGCATGCAAAAAAAAGAACATGAGCCACAGCCCACAGGCTCTTGTTCTACCGATAGAGATTGGCCGCCCTAATAGGTACAGAGCTGACACAGGGCACTGTCGAAACTGCTTTGGTCGGTGCTGGCTTGGCTGCACCTCTCGGCTGCTGTTGTCCCGTCCGCACCCCACCGGAGCATGTCTGTCCAGTCAAAGCCGTGTCATGTCCGGACTGAGGAGCGATTCGGCGAGCAGCAGCCGAATCGCTCCAATCACACACGACACGGCCTTGACCGGACAGACAGACTCTGATGCGACACGGACAGGACAGCAACGGTCGAGACCTTTTTTCCACCCCATAGTAGTTTGACTCTGACATAATTACTTCCCGAGGGAAGATAACAGAACCCTGACTCTACCAGTCTGGAATTAACCTCCCGATGGCTGGTCTGCCTCGCCCCTCTATGGTTCAGCCCGACTCGTGTTTTGATGCATAGCCTGACACAATAAATAATGTCCCGGCAGTGATGAATAGGGGGACATACGTTTTCTCCCTGCCAGTCCTTAGATCGTTAATACCATTCGTGCTACATCGCGTGTTCAACCATACCGACTTATTCAGTAATGGTGAAAATCCCCACACTACAAGGTATGGTCTATCAGATAAACACATGTTTGAGTATCTTCAGTGAGTCACAGAGCGTAGAGTGTAGGGTGAGTCACAAAGCAATGTCATCTGGCTCACTAATGCGACCATGGTGGCGGTGCGCTGATAGTGCACAAGGTGAGCATGGTGCTCGCTCGGCAGCCGCTTCATGACCTAATAGCCCTACTGGTCTGTTGGTTAATCCACCGAAGTCGTACTGGTCTTTCATGCAAATGATCCACACATGATTTTGAAAGAAATGATATTTTTCAATAAGACACGTCAACGGGGACCAGTAAACCTGTCTTCCGCGCCGCCTAAGGCGCAAAAATTGCTTGATGGAGCCTTAGTACCTAAGGCCTTATAAATGCCAGCTCAGACGGTAGGTAAATCTGCTTCAAAATGGCAAAAAAAAAGTATGAGCTGAAGAAGAGCGTTTCGCGATGTTGTTTACAATCGTTTTATCATCGCTCACTTGTCTCGATGTGTTGATCCTTCGCTGTCTGGTGCATTATAGCTAACATCGGATTATGTCGACATGGGTTTATCCTCTGCAGCGTTCCGCGACAGTGACAATTTTTCTGGAATCGTTTCCGACAAACTTCCACTTATTGGCCGTTATAATGAATCGTTCCGCTCTCCAACTTCCTGGTAAAGAACCGATCGGCTCCGCCGGCGGAATCCAACCAGTCAGCCGCGTACCCACTGAGCCTCGGGAAATTAGTTAGTGCGCCTTGGCCAAGCTGCGATAAGTAGCCAACAAATTCCAGCCAGCAGCAATTCTTGAGAGTGCTTCAGCCACGAAACACGCCGTCATTTAGATGCTCGTCAATTGATACTCGCTCATAGTTTGGCTCATCTTGGTCCGAAACTGGTCAGTGATTCCTAAAAAATCAGCCATGGACTGTTATAGAGTGTAAGTAATGCCTCACCGGCACCCGAGCCGGTCAGAGCGCTCTCACGTTTCTCCGACAGGTCTGGACAACCTGCACGAGTACCTCAAGTTCTCGTATCCGCGCATGAGGCCGCCGTCGTTTTTCTGCGAGAACGAAACACCAACCGGCATGGTGTTACACTACCGGAGCAAACGACGGGGCTACGGAGGCTACACCATGGGACAAATCAAACAGGTATGTAACGACTGCGGCTTCACCGTGCAACGATGCAAACAGGCATGACCGAGCCTAGTTATGTTCATGGAGCGAATCTAAGAGGTAGATCCGAGGCTACACCATGGCTATTGAGCATGGTATGTAGCAAGTGAAGATATCCGCCAGATAATACGATGGAATTAGCAAGTTTGTTCATAAATTCTTACCCCGATAGGAAACATGAATCTGTTGAATGCCTTGTACTTCAGAGAACCATCATGACCTGCGTCGATTGAAAAATGAACGCATTTTGTCATCGCAATGTGTTTTTAATGCTGACAAAAAAAAGAGCATAACTGAAAATTCCAGAGCTAACAAATTGCGGCAAAAATATTCAGAGTATAGATAAATATCTGTAAGTATTCAGAGTATCAGCAGCCTGACGGGACTGCCCACTCTCCCGTCTCCGCCGACCGCAGGTGGCTCGGCATTTCTACGACACCGAGATGGAGATCGAGCTAGTGCGCGAGGACTCACTGGTCGACTCGTACCACGTCACCTTCCAGCTGACGTTCGACAACCACGCCTTCCGCGAGAGCCACGCCATCCGGCTGGTGCGCGACGAGCAGAGCCTGCCCATCCGCGCCGGCATCATCTTCGAGCTGTTCCCATTCTCCATCGCCTTCACGTGAGCACGAGCTGCAGCTGCCCCGCAGCCGCTTCCTGCGGCTTCTTCATGTGACTAGGTCGACACCGCCCTCAGTGGTGTTTGGACTGAGACACAGCACACTCTTAACGCACTTGAATTCAATTAACTTGTGACCTAATGGAAGGTTTACGTCGGATTTGCAAGATTATTCAGACGCACGGTGTCAAATATGCCTTTATGGCATTAAAATCAGACTGAGATGCAGTGTAACAGTTGAAACTTTGACACGGATTGCTGTTTCAGTTATGACAAACGTATTTCACAAGGCAACTCTGTATCCTGATTGTTAACCCGCGCCCCGCTGGGGGGGGGGGGGGCAGAATCTGCCCCCTACCGTTTTTCACCAATAACTTCTAAACGCGTTACGCCAGCAACGTCAAACTTGCGGTACCTTATCATACATCAATTTGACACGTTTCCTGAAAATTTGAGCGAAATCCGACGGGAAACTTTTGAGAAATTGACGTTTTAGTGACGTCATGTTCGCCATTTTCGCCTCAAAAACGCCAAAATTTCAAACGCCGATAACATCTTCATTTTTAAAGGAATCAAGACGTTACAAAAAGAGTTATTCGTGATTCTACTTTGTCTATCAAATGGCTATCTCGGTTTTTTGAAAATTTTCGATTTTGGCCCATTTTTTCTTCAAAAGCTGACTTTTTTGGGAAAATAATTATAAAATCCAAAATTTTGTGTGTATCGAAAAAAAACTGGAATATATGTCAGAGAAGTGGTCTATGTGCACCTACATACCAATTTTTAGAAGAATCGGTTCAAAAATGTGGGAGTTATTCAAAACTGTATGACGTCACGACAAACAATTTTTTTTTTAAAATGATTTTTTTTGGAAGTTCTAGACCTCGTACGGAAACAAAACTAGCACCATTCGATTCACCGTGAAAAACTGCATCAGATAGACACCTTTTGAGGCCTTAACAACCAATTTCAAAATTTGACCTCACTTGACCTGACCTTGACCTGACCTCGACCTGAAATTCATCCAGAGGTGGTCCATATCACTTATTGAGTGTGCCTATTGAATTCTATGAGTAAAATGACCCATAAAGCATGTGTCGCACATGCCCTTTTCTATATTTTGTTTTTGGTGACCTGACCTGACCTGACCTTGACCTTGACCTTTGAATGACATTGTATGCAACGAATATTGTCTTGGTAGTCTAAGAACACGTTTTGGGCAATCAGTCTCAGTCCATTCTTCGGCAACTACGGTGCAAGGCCGATACTGTAGAAACTTGCATTTTGTACCCTTGACCTGACCTTGACCTGACCTCTGACCTACTTAAGCAAAAAAAAATTGGGCTCCTAAATTCCGCCTTGTTGAGAGCTTTCGATTGCCGTTTTCCCCGTCTTTCTACGACCATCGGTTCGGAAGTTAGACAGGGGGGGGGGCAGAATCTGCCCCCCCCCCCCCAGCAGGGCGCGTATGGCTGAATAGCCCAGCGGGGCGCGGGTTAACGAGCTTCAGCCAGTAGGCCACACATAAAACGTTTTCTTTTCACTGGACAGAGCAGAGTCAATTCAGTGAAGGCACACTATTATTTTAAAGATATTGCTTTGGAAGGGATTTTAATGTAGCAAAGGCCGCTGAAGCAGTTGTTTCACAAATTAAAACACAAGATCTGCCCGGGGAATCCTCGGGCAGTTTTTGGGCTGTCTTTTTATAGTTGACCTTCCTTCCCCGAATATCGCTGTGTGACGCGGAGCTGCGCGACCCGTGTGTTTCCGGCCGCCGGGCGCTAATTCGGTTACCATTCAATACACGGTAAACACATTACCACGGTCAATATCAGCGGCTCGCTGAGCCGCCGCTGCCGGGACGTGGGTGCAGCGAGCTCTCCCAAATATAAGTTGTTTCACAAATTAAAACACAAGATCTGCCCGGGGAATCCTCGGGCAGTTTTTGGGCTGTCTTTTTATAGTTGACCTTCCTTCCCCGAATATCGCTGTGTGACGCGGAGCTGCGCGACCCGTGTGTTTCCGGCCGCCGGGCGCTAATTCGGTTACCATTCAATACACGGTAAACACATTACCACGGTCAATATCAGCGGCTCGCTGAGCCGCCGCTGCCGGGACGTGGGTGCAGCGAGCTCTCCCAAATACCGCGCCACAACAGCAGCGGAGTGGGCCGCTCCATTCAGAGATCTCGGCTCACCCCTCAGACAAAGCTGACAGCTGGGAATCCCACGCCGCGGCCTGACTGGGCCAGCTCCCAGGGACGGGAAGTGTCGGCCTCGCGCCACTTCGGCCGTGACCGCACGACCGGACGGCACTGGTGTCGACTGCCAGGATCGCCGGCGTCACCGGCCACCGGTGACCGAGCGGACAAATCGCATCGACCTCGGCCGAGCCGGCGGCCGATCGGCAGCGGCCATCCGGCGCTGCCGGTACGGAGATTGCCCCACTGTGGCCGCCGGCACGCGCCCTGGCCACCAGCCAGACCGTCGCTCGGTGCAGTTTCCCTCATCGCCGCGTGAGGCATCACATAATCAATTATAACTGCGATCCAGAATCGGCCATAACGGTGATGATACTAACGCTGGCATGAATTATGCTTTATGAAAAGGAATTTGATGAGGATATTCGATGATAACGAGACTTGGCCTAGACCTAGTGACCAATACCTTGTGACATCTTGTGGGAATCTTCTTCACACAAAACTAAATCGAGAACTGCGGAAGATCACATCACAATTTACAACACATCGAAAGCGATTCAGAGCTGTGGAATGACTCGTGCACTATTTTCCGACAGATCAAATATGGTTGTAAAGAACCTCGGTCAGTCGATGATGACCATTCTGCCGGAGCTGATCGGAAGGAAAATTGATGAGTGGTTCGACCTGGTCCGGCCGCTGGTGGAGTTTAGATTCTCAGGGGTAAGCTTCTCGCCTATCTCAGTCGATGCAGATGGTGTAACTTTGGGTTCCGAGAAAGCCTGCGATTTAAAATGGATTGGAGGTGTCTTTGAAAGCCGTATTTCATGAGGAAACCATGCATTTTACAAGCGCCATCCGACATCCAACCGATTCACGAGCTCACGGCGTGGACATTCTTCCATTGATATGTCGAAAGGAGGATTGTTGTAAGCTTTCTGTCAACAACATATGAAACGCCAGCAGCATTCTTTTACTTTATTGCTTTTATTTTTGTGGTGTCTGTTGCATTGTTCTCCGCCTCCAGCTCTGGTGCGGAGACACAGAACTCCCGTCTGTCCGCGTCCGAGTTCCTTTTTCCGACACAATACACCACTTACAATGCGAAACTGACACGGTGCCGCGCTGCAGATTCTGAAAAAGACCAACAACATTTTCGAGCTGGTAACAATCGACGCCCCGTCTCGCCTACGGGCGCTGGACAGCAAGGTCAACACCAACGGCATGGTCGACGACTTCGACGACGACCTCATCATCAAGGAGAAAAATCTGCGACTCAAAGGTGCGACCATTGCGCGGCTGCCAAAAATGAGGCTGTGGTGGGTAGAGGAACTGGGTCTGGAAGAGTCTTTAACCGTCGCAGACACAGGCCATTCTGTAATGGTGGCCTAATGTAGTGAGACTAACATAGTGGCCCGAAGGGGACCCCGGCTAGGTACGTACGTAGGTCTTATTGGCTGGGTTTTGACAAAAACTTTCTTTTTTGCTCCATGGGTGAAAACGCCATAAGCCTATTTAAAGTTTGATGCAATTTAAGCTTAAATAAATGTTGCAATATAAAAATGTTAACGACAATCGATTGAACCTGCTCTTTTATCTGATAAGCTTCAAAGGTGAAACGGTACACATGTGACAGTTTGCATGGTCCATCCAAATTGCTACAATTAATTGCATTTTACTCGAACTATTCTGAAAATATGTGTCCATGTTACTAACTCAGTTGTCAATTTTCACCCCATTCTAAAGTCTGTCACATAAGTTTATCCTTTAGTTTCCAGAGAAATAAAAGTACACCAAAGTGCAAAGCTGTAATTGTATTGCTCCACAACAACAGCAATAAAAAGCGTTCTTTCATATCCTCAAAAAGAGACAGAAAAAAGAACATTGAGAGGGTAGTCAAGGTAGATCAGTGCAGATGACGGTTCCTAACAAACTGTCCTGTGAACCGCTGTTCACCTTACCGCTGGCGCCGAGTAATGTACCGACTGGAGCCGCCACTCTACCGGGCGCTGGCCGTGCCGCCAGGTCAGATGATGTACTTTGACGAGTGGCGGATGATCCTGTTCCTGGGCACGCCCGTGATGCCAGATCTGGACGCCATGATTCACACCGGACTCTTCATCAACGACCTCTCGATGCACGACTTCAGCAGGTCAGCAGCGTGGTGTGAACCAACGGATTCAGTCAGTGTGCGATGGTGGCATGAGATCGCTGCAAGTGAACACGGTATTAAATCAACCCTTTCAAAGCAAAACTTAGCTTGACTCATTGTTGCGTTGCTGTCAGACTTTTAGTTATATAATGCAGGGACAGGCGCTTTGAACCGTTCTAGGCCGTTTAAAGCGTAGTGCAGGTCAGTCTGCACCACTGATAGATCCGCCTGTTGCACTGCGAATGCACAAGCCCCGGGCCCCTGGTGGCGGGCTGATGGCGCGTGTCGCTCCCTCCCTCCAGGGACCTGATGCTGGCGAGCACGCAGCAGTCGATCGAGCTCAAGCTGGCGCTGGACCAGGAGCAGCTCAAGTCGAAGAAGCTCGAGGAGTCGATGAAGAAGCTGGACGATGAGATGCGGAGGACGGATGAGCTGCTGTACCAGATGATCCCCAAGGAGGTGGCCAACCGGCTCAGGAAGGGCGCCAACCCCGTTGACACGTGTGAGGTGAGAGACAGATTCTCCATTCCGGAGAGAGCAGTCACCACTCAAGTGGCGCAATAGACTGTGTTATCGCACTGTTATGGCTAAGGTCTAAGTGATGTGTGACAGCTATTGTGTGTGATGTTTTCATTAAGCATGGCTAATCGTGTGCATAATTGTGGTATGATGGACACAGTTGAATGAACTTAATCTTATCGAATGCAGTTAAACGTGAAACACAGTTGAAAAGGGAGCTATGATTATCATATTTCACACAGGCACGCACTCGTAACTCCTCGTGACTGCGACATTAAATCGAACACCTATTGATGGTATCGGTGTCCATTTTAAGCGAACTCCTCAATCAGCACTCGGAAAAGACCTGGCTGGAATCTGTGTTGGCAGCAAATGAGTTCAATTTGTCTTGGCATGCACCTATCATAAAGAGACCTAACAACGTCGTGACCCCATGGGATCGCTGTCCCTGGTTTCATCAGACTTCCTGACAAAGGGCCACAGACCTTGCCTTTGTGACGTCTTATAACGTCATCAAAACCCACACTGAAGTGCCTTCAATTCACGACAAATAAGTGTCATGTTCGAAAGTTAATCGACGATGGCCAGTAGGCATCAAGCTGTCTCCACAATTTTCCAGCCCTCGTAACATAAAAACCCTTTGGTCTTTGTGCGGCAGAGCCGAATTCAGTGAAAGGCGCCTTATTAGGATTTGATAGATGGAATTGGATACTGGCGGGAAACTAACAGTACCGCTCATAACTCGCTGTGGCTCGCTGGGGAAGCTGTCATTTTTAGGCAATACTTTTAACCCTTCTGTAGCTTGTATTCGCACCTTACTCATTTGTTTATTTGCATTAAAGTTTGCAATAAATTATGCATTACCTTCAGGTCAATTTATTTCAAATGTTTATCGCACCGTTTATCTATTGCATCAAGAGAGTTGTATGTATATGGTGTGCCATAGAGCTCTGTGGTGTAGGTCTATGGGTGTGACCATGACCACTGCATTAGACCATAATTACCCGGCAGAGTAAATAAAAGACCAAACGACAGTGACGCGTTACAAGTGCAGACGCATCCGCCGACTACCCCGAATGGCTCTATTCATTTGTGGGGCCGAGTTCAGAGTATCGAAAAGTTTCCGACAAGGGCGTGGCCATTCACCGTTGCGTCATTCCGAAACCAATTCCATGCTAACCATCGACGCACTTCAATAAAACTCTACTCTCATGCAAGGGCTTGTCAATATGGCAATCGAACCAATCGGTCTCTGAAACTATTTCCTTTCCAACGCAGTGGCGTTGCTGTTGCATCATTGCGGATATGGATTACTTTTTTTCTTCGATATGCTTTTAACCCTCGCATGTGTAGGGGGGGGGGGGTCGGATGGACCCCCCCCCCATGGTTTTTCGCGAATAACTCGCGTAAAAAGCGGCCGATCGCGACGAAACTTTTAGTACCCTCGCATTGATCAATTTTACACCTACCCTGAAAATTTCATGACCCTGACCCAAATGACCTTTGACCTGTGACCTCTTTTCCGAGACCATGTTTGGCCGGAATCGCGATTTCGCGTATGTCGGCTCGCACTAGCCGCGTGTTTGCAAGCTTTTCGTGGTTTCAAACGTTCAAACATGTGATTTGATGTTACTCCCGTGTGTGTCAAGGTCACCTGAAGGTCAGGTCAGGTAATTGACCTTTGGTGACCTCGGGTGACCTCGGGTCACTTTTTCGAGTTTTACAAGTTTCTAGGCTAGTTTTTGGAGCTGAATTCGAATTTAGCAACCATTTGAACATTTACGAAGTAGTTTTGGTGAATTCGTAACATGTTACGAAGCTGTCAGAGGCGGTTGACACGTACTACGAATACCCGTCACGACGCCTACTGGTTGACCTGACCTGACCTGACCCGACCTGGTCTAAATGCTTCAAGACATCATCTGTGATCAAAACTAACACGATATTCGTGATCAGCACCCCGAAAAACCCCTTAGCAGCCACACTTTACGACTTTCTAACAGGTCCCGATTTTCCCGACTTTGGGTCATTGACCTGACCTGGAAGGTCAACCAATGACTTAGGACCTTAACCCTCGCATGTGTAGGGGGGGGGGGGTCGGATGGACCCCCCCATGGTTTTTCGCGAATAACTCGCGTAAAAAGCGGCCGATCGCGACGAAACTTTCAGTACCCTCGCATTGATCAATTTGACACCTACCCTGAAAATTTCATGACCCTGACCCAAATGACCTTTGACCTGTGACCTCTTTTCCGAGACCATGTTTGGCCGGAATCGCGATTTCGCGTATGTCGGCTCGCACTAGCCGCGTGTTTGCAAGCTTTTCGTGGTTTCAAACGTTCAAACATGTGATTTGATGTTACTCCCGTGTGTGTCAAGGTCACCTGAAGGTCAGGTCAGGTCATTGACCTTTGGTGACCTCGGGTGACCTCGGGTCACTTTTTCGAGTTTTACATGTTTCTAGGCTAGTTTTTGGAGCTGAATTCGAATTTAGCAACCATTTGAACATTTACGAAGTAGTTTTGGTGACTTCGTAACATGTTACGAAGCTGTCAGAGGCGTTTGACACGTACTACGAATACCCGTCACGACGCCTACTGGTTGACCTGACCTGACCTGACCCGACCTGGTCTAAATGCTTCAAGACATCATCTGTGATCAAAACTAACACGATATTCGTTATCAGCACCCCGAAAAACCCCTTAGCAGCCACACTTTACGACTTTCTAACAGGTCCCGATTTTCCCGACTTTGGGTCATTGACCTGATCTGGAAGGTCAACCAATGACCTAGGACCTTAAAATTGGGTATCATCGGCTTCCTCTCGTCACGGGCAACACGCTCGTTTTTTCCGCGAAGCTCTAGCTCGATCAGGGGCCAAACGGCAAGGGGGGTCCAACCGACCCCCCTACACATTAGAAGCTGGCAAACGCCGCACACATGCGAGGGTTAAAATTGGGTATCATCGGCTTCCTCTCGTCACGGGCAACACGCTCGTTTTTTCCGCGAAGCTCTAGCTCGATCAGGGGCCAAACGGCAAGGGGGGGGGGGGGGTCCAACCGACCCCCCCCTACACATTAGAAGCTGGCAAACGCCGCACACATGCGAGGGTTAAGCAAGTAGGTAGGTACCTAATGCATCTATTAGTATCCATTAGTTAATAACGTAAAATGACATCTTAGTAAAAGACAAAAAAAAAAATTCAGCGAGCATTAGTCGAACAATAGCTTTAAACTGCCCGGTATCCGCTGGCTACTGCTTTACAAATTCTGCTCACATTTTATGCACGATTGCTACTGCGACTCCCTTATTAGCATCACTATAATGGAAATTATTTCATCGGCTTGACAAGGCGGTATATGAATCATCATCCCGGAGAGGATGAGTGATCTGTTTAGAAGACAAGGAGAAGGCGGCTTAGAATTGAGGAAGGTAGAACATCTGAATGTTGAAATTTCATAAGATTGTATTGCATCACAGTCTTCAAAAATGATTCTCAAATATCCGGAATATTGCTACGGACGGTCATAAGCCCTCAAACTGCTCATTAAAAGTTAATGTATTGTTCTGTAAGGTGTTCTTATGCCTGCATAGTAAAACAGACTTCTGTGAACGAAAAGGTGACTGCTGTGTGTGCATAGATAAAGCCCTGTAGAAGGCTACTTTTCTTATTTAACTTTGTCCTTATAAATGAACGGTTGTCTATGGATTCGGCCGCGAAAAAGGCACGACTTGTTGCAGTGTTGCAAATGGCAGCATGAAACCACCACCTATGTAGAAACTTGCCTGCGCCTGCTTCACCGGTGATTGTTCTAGCATAATATTTAACGTACGCCATAGGCGGCGGAACGGAGGGGGGGGGGGGGGCACCGGGGCACCGTGCCCCCCCTTTGATTTTGACATTTTAACATTAGCCCTATGGGCGTTGTATGGAAAGAATGGGACCAAAAGTCGGCAGTGTCCCTCCCCTCCCCTTAATTGAAGGTGTTCCGCCGCTACTGACGTGCGTACCATTCAAAGGTGTCCCTTAAATCAGGCATCCGTATGTCCAGCTGTCTCCTTCACACTGACATTTTGAAGTTATTGAGTGCACCTGCACGTTAGAAATTGGGCGCTGACTGAGCACCGTTGCGGCAGGTTTTCGAGAGCGTCACCATTCTGTTCTCCGACGTGGTCAACTTCACCGAGATCTGCAGCAGGATATCGCCCATGCAGGTGGTCGCCATGCTGAACAGCATGTACTCCATCTTCGACAGGCTAACAGAGTTCAACCAAGTCTACAAGGTGGGCACTACACAACGGTTTACGTTTTGCTTAACCTTCGCCCCAGTGGGGGTGGGGGAGGGGGGGCATATGTTTAATGTTACCACCTTGTCGCGTTTTTTTGCGTGTGAATAAAAAACCACGGTGCGTAGCGCCGCGCCGCTTGGAGTAGCTTTTTGCACATCAATTTTGGACAATATGTGAAATTTTTGACCCCAGGTCATGTCAGGTCAGGTCACCAGGTCAAGTTAACTGACCAAGCCTAAAAAAGTTTGCAATCATGTCCAGCCTGCAGTGTTTGTCAGAGAGGTTTTAAACCTGGTGGATTGCATGATGTAATGGGCGCCTACAATTTTTATATCTCGGATTTTTTATATGCGTGACCTAAGGTCAGGTCAGTGGCATGACTTTTCCATTATAAGACAATGGAGAAAAAGCGAAAATGCCTCTAGATCCGTGTGTACACATAGGAACAGTCCAAATATTTCAGAATCACAATGATTTGGAACACCCGTGACGACCAAGGTGTCATTTTTTGCTGATAGCCTCTATAAAGGTCATCCGAGGTCATTTGAGGCTACAAACAGCTTTTTGCCAATAACTCTCGATTGGAAAGAGATAGAACGCTGGGGTTGGCCTCATTGTGTTTGTCTTGCCGAGATGCATCGACTGATATGCAACATGACCTTTCCCGGTCAGGTCATGACCTTGACCTGAGGTCAAATTTTGAAGTTGACCTTTCAAGGTCAAATTATAGTTCATTCGACGCGTCTTGGCGAGAGGAACACGATTCTGGCAATAGAAATCTCCTAGCTTTTTTTTAGTCAAAAGTTATTGTCGAAAAACACTTCTGGTAAAAATAGCTATTTTTGGAGTTTTTGCCCTCTGGAGGCTAAACCGTTGACCTGAGGTCATTTTTGATGATGACCTTATCAAAAGAAGAGTTCAAAAGCTATCGATTGGTTTTCCCAGTGTTTTTCTAGCTATCATAGTTCCTGAGATAATTGCATGTTTTCTGAAAAATATAACGACAATTGGCAAATTTTGACCTTTGATGACCTCTGGTGACCCCAATATTGCTCTAAGATGAAAAATGATCGAAATACTCTCAAACGTACGCATCGAGAGCTATCGACTGCTTTTTACCGCGTCTTTCTAGCCCTCTTAGTTTTTGAGTTAGAGGTGGGTGGTAACATATGCCCCCCCCCCCCCCACACTAGGGCGAAGTTAGCTGAGACCGCTACTGCGCTGGGGCGCGGGTTAACATGCGCGGTCTCAGAGGGTTCGTTGTGCCCATGATGTGGAGGTACTTGGTGGCCTTGCCATCCCAGCTCCGCAGGCGAAGGCGACTGGTGGCCTCAGTACGAGACGACTGGTGGTCTCAGTGCCAGACGACTGGTGGTATCCGCATGAGACGACCTGCGGTCTCAGTACGAGACGACCTGTGGTCTCAGTACGAGACGACCTGTGGTCTCAGTACGAGACGACTGGTGGGCTCAGCACGAGACGACTGGTGGTCTCAGTACGAGACGACCTACGGTCTCAGTACGAGACGACCTGTGGCCTCAGTACGAGACGACTGGTGGTTTCAGTGCCAGACGACTGGTGGTATCCGCATGAGACGACCTGTGGTCTCAGTACGAGACAACCTGTAGTCTCAGTACGAGACGACCTGTGGCCTCAGTACGAGACGACCTGTGGTCTCAGTACGAGACGACTGGTGGGCTCAGCACGAGACGACTGGTGGTCTCAGTACGAGACGACCTACGGTCTCAGTACGAGACGACCTGTGGCCTCAGTACGAGACGACTGGTGGTTTCAGTGCCAGACGACTGGTGGTATCCGCATGAGACGACCTGTGGTCTCAGTACGAGACAACCTGTGGTCTCAGTACGAGACGACCTGTGGCCTCAGTACCAGACGACTGCAGTGGTCTCAGTGCCAGCCAGACGAATGGTGGTATCCGCATGAGACGACCTGTGACCTCAGTACGAGACGACCGGTGGTCTCAGTACGAGACGACTGGTGGTCTCAGCACGAGACGACCTGTGGTCTCAGTACGAGACGACCTGTGGCCTCAGTACGAGACGACCTGTGGTCTCAGTGCCAGACGACTCGTGGCCTCAGCACGAGACGACCTGCACGGTCTCAGCTCCCGCTGCTCCGCAGGTGGAGACGATCGGCGACTCCTACATGGTGGTGGACGGCGCGCCAGAGAAGAGGACCAACCACGCCGAGAGGATCTGTGACATGGCGCTGGACATGGTGGACGGCATCACGGGACTCACCGACCCGTCCACAGGTGAGCAGCGGCGCTCTCACCGACCCGTCCACAGGTGAGCAGCGGTGCTCTCACCGACCCGTCCACAGGTGAGCAGCGGCGCTCTCACCGCTCCACTCACAGGTGAGTGGCCCCGCAACTGAGCAGCGCCGACTTCACCGACCCGTCAATAGGTGGGCAGCACCGACGCGTCCACAGGTGATCAGAACTTACTCAACAGGTGGGCAGAGCCGACCCGTCCACAGCTCTACAGGTGAGCAGAACTGGTCTCACCGACCCGTCCACAGGTGAGCAGAGCTGGTCTCACCGACCCGTCCACAGGTGAGCAGAGCTGGGCCCTGTTCATGAAGTCTGCGGCCGCTGCGGCCGGCCGCAGGTTCTATGCCCCGCCCATTTTTGAAACGTCATCACTCACTCGGCCGCAGCAGCGTTCCATGAACAGCGTCTGCTGCCGAAATAGTTTCCGACAATTGTTTACAACTGACGCACACCGCTGGATAATTTGTTTACAAAATCGTCTCCATGACAACACGTCTTGCGCCTATTTGACTTCAGTGCGCCAAGTTCAGTGCATTAGTTTTCTTGCGGCTCGGCGGTCGCTGGATTGCGGCCGCAGAGATCGCAGCGGCCGCAGCAAGGTGACGTCATACATTCGTCATACTACATGAGCCCCGCCCCTTTTCGTGACGTAACAACCCGGCTGACCGCAGCGACCGCAGCGGCCGCAGCGACCGCCGGGGTTCATGAACAGGGCCCAGGTCTCACCGACCCGTCCACAGGTGAGCAAAGCTGGTCTCACCGACCCGTTCACAGGTGAGCAGCAGTCACCCGTCATTAGGTGAACAGAACTCACTTAACAGGTGAGCAGCGCCGACCCGTCCACAGGTGAGCAGCGGCGCTCTCACCGAGATGTCATCAGATGAGCAGCAGCCACCCGTCCACAGGCAGGCGGGCAGTGTCGCTCTCACCAGGTAAGCAGCGCCGCTTCATTAGTTAACAGGTGAGTAGCGCCGCTCTCACCGATTCCTTGACCGCGAACAGACTGACCCGTTCTCCCCCGCATGTAGCGAGCAGCGGGGAGCGTAAAAGGAAGGCGTAGTGCAGTGCTATATGCAAGAGTAAGGACTGGGAATGAGTCTGGAAATTACAGTTCGTTAATAAAACAACAAATGGACGTACAATTAAAATGTGTATCTGCTATAATACCACATTAGGTATAAGCGATCCACTAGATATGTGTCCAGTTATTTATGCAATTATCTATAACAGAATATTTAGATTAGGATAATTCATTTATTTTGTTTAAACTGTGCATTCCATTTTTCCAAAGGTTAGTTAACGTTCAAACACAACTATTATAAAGGTTGAAGCACGAGCAAACGGACACATTTAGGCCACAAAGGAACATTGACAGAGACAATAAAGACGATGCAAAGTTATTTCTCCCGGCGAATCTGTCCTCTGTTTAGCATCACAATACACTGCACATTTCTCGCTCACCCTCTGGGACTTGCTTCACAGGGGAACGTACAGTGTACACTGATTGTTACATACGTTGTCAGCTTTCCCAATGCTTTGAGCGTGCCCGGATGTACCTATTTTTAAAGTGTTTTTCCCATTACTCCATATCTAGGGCTAGGGCCAGACCCAATCAGGCAGTTGCCAGCGGAGAGACCTGCAATAGGCACTTTACCGGATTCATCTGCTATCAATCGTCTCTCGCAGCAGTGAGCACACGAGCGTCTTAGGAAATGGTCACAGACGATGCCGTAGCTTCTTTAGATGGCAGCATAGTATACCTAATGATATTTATGTAAATGCACTCAATTTACAGATGCCAAGTGGTGAAGCCCTTACAGATGCCCTTACTCATGTGCTATGTAATATCACGGCAGCACCGTACGAGCTTACATCAAAATATCCCGGAAAAGTTTTAACTATTTTCTTAGAATGGCTCTCAACTTTCGTGCACATTAGGAGTCATCGCGAAGTCTCGTTCCGACTGGGGAGCCCGTTTCGGCGAAGGGCGGCGGTGTATCTGCCATTACCGTATTCCCGGTGACTTCTGACCTCTGAGCGCAGTCATTAGCAGCTGCTGGTGTTGCCAACGGCCCCGGGCGCCGACCAAACACGGCATCAGTACCGCCGCCGATTCCTGATTGGTGGCGCCGAGAATATATTGGCGACTGGGGTGTGTGCCGGGGTGACAAAAAACGCCAGCTAACGGTGGTCGCCAGCGAGATGTCATTAATTGTCGGCAAGGTTCATTGGAGAATCGAGAGAGGACGGAATGCTTACTTTTTTAGCAGGATGCATAGAGGTAAAAAGAGAGTGAGAAGTCAAAAGAAAGAAAGTGAGAGAGGAAGAAAAAGTGAGAGAGAGAAAGAGAGAGAGAGAGGAGAGAGAGGAGAGAGAGAAAAAAGACAGAGAGATAGAAAGAGAGAGAGAGAGAGAGAGAGAGAGAGAGAGAGAGAGAGAGAGGGGGGGGGTGGAGGGCAGGCGGTCAGGCTGAAGGACGGAGACAGAACGGGTATTTCCTACCCTGACACGGGTCACGGCTTGCTGCGCTCGGACAGAATACAAATAACGCGCGCCAGCTGCGTCCTGCCGCGGCTTTCCGGCTGGGGAACTGCAGAACCAATAACTGCACAACAGGGCCGGTAAAACACATCGTTTTTGTGCTGTTCTGCTGCGCTGCAGAGAATTTAGCACCGCGGCGAGATTCCGTAAAGCCGGCGCTGTCCGCCTCTCTGAGCCGCAGGCTGCTCTATAATGTCGCCGTGAATCACGCAAACAGGATGTGTTTAAATGAAAAATAATAACAAAAGACGACAGGTGAACAAACTGTAGATGTGCTTTGATGAGAACCAGGTCATGACAAGGCAATTTAAAAGAGTGTCTGCATTGTATTTTTAGTACTATTTGATACAGTTTTGAAGTGCTATAGAGATGCAAATCGTTTTCTTTGTATACTGTCCCCTGCCCATACTGTAGAAGCGTTTTCACTGTCGCCCAATAGTAGAATCACCACATCTGCGCTTGTCCCGTCTGACTTTGGTCGCGCCGTCTCCAGGAGACCATATTGAGATCCGCGTCGGCGTTCACTCCGGTACCGTGGTGGCCGGCGTCGTGGGGCTGAAAATGCCCCGCTACTGCCTATTCGGAGACACCGTCAACACAGGCAAGTGCTATCCGCAGGCGGCCAAACGGCCAGCTACCCGCTCGCGCTTAGATAATGGAACGTGTACTCATAAGGAGTTAACATTACCCGGCTAAACAGGGAGAAGATCGTCTCGTTTCGGAAATTAGAATGGAGCAGCTGCAGCGGGAGCGCTGGCTGGCTGTTTGCCCAACACACACTCTTACGCCACACGTGTGGCGACAGCATCAGATTACGCAAAACCATATCCTGAACGCACCGCCACATGTGTGACGTTGGTAGCTGATTACGCAAAACTATATCCTGAATGTCCCAGACAACATGCTAGACAACATGCAGTTCTAGGTAAGACCCTTTGTTGTAATTTCATGTTTACGCTAACAGCCTTGCGCTACGCCCACCCATCCGCCCGCCACTGCTGATTCGCGCTTCCGCCACTAGATGGCAGGGGTGGCGAGCGCCTGCATCTAGACTGTTCCGCATGACAGGGAAGCCGGCAGCCAGCGCAGGGCGGCGGGGTAGTTCACTCGGCTACAGGTTGATCGATGCGGACTATTTATTCATCGATTATTTTTGCCTAAGCACGGCCAGTAGCAGCCACCTGGTACCGGAAGACTGTGTCACTTGACTTTTTGTTAAGCGGCACAACCTAACCACGCCGCATGGCACCGGCTCGGATCGTCGGCAGACGTCCATCTCCGGTTTTATTTCACTCCGAGAAGAGTTCGTAGATCTGGGTGTTGCTAGATTTAGATATCTTGAGCTGGGGGAGGGGGCTCAAAAACATATAACGACTAAAGAGTCCCCAGCCGAAGAGTCGGAGGGGCTCGTGAACCCCGTGAGCCCCCAGTGGGCCCCCTGGCTCCCGCGCCTATCATATAGTCCCTATCGACCAGCCTGTAGCCGAGTGTACCTATTCAGTCAGACTTAACAATATCTCAGTTCCACCATGTTGGGCATTTTTAAACCGTTTCCAGCTCCCGTACTTCTCTCACTCGCCGTTCTCTCGTCTCGGTAACGTCTCTCTGTCCACCCGCAGCGTCCCGTATGGAGTCGAACAGTCAGGCCATGCAGATTCACATCTCGGAGCCGACTAAGCAGCGTCTCGGCCCCAGCTACCGGACCGTCGAGCGGGGCGGCATCCACGTCAAGGGAAAAGGTCAGTCGGCCGCTGACGTACCGAAAATGTCTGTCATATACGGCATCCGCGGCAGCCGGACCGAGTCCTGGATACCGGTACGAACCTTTAGCGATACAATAAAAGCATTTTTAAAAAGTAGCATCAGTGGCCTTACGTTACGATACTCTTTCTCCTTAATTTTGAATTTATGACCGGACATCCCCTGTGTCTTATGAGTTACAACTCTGTCTAAGGCATTGGATGCGAGATACGCTGCCTGTTATTATTACTTTTCAAACTTATTGCTTACGTAAGGTCGTCGCTGATTCTGCTCCACATTTGACAGAAAATAAACTCACCAGCTTGCCATAAAGCGTACTGGTCATTTCACGTTCAATCATTCGAGCAGCTTCTCATGTCATCGGAAGATTGATGGAAACGCTTCGACCCGGGCCGGCCGGCGGCGGCTGGAGCGGCATCCGCTGGTCGATGGTGAAATGGGCCCTGACGGCGGTCAGGTCGGGTCGGCAGCGGCTGGCCCTGACCGTCCCCCTCCCCACTCCGCCGCAGGCGCCATGAAGACGTACTGGCTGCGCTCGCGGGACGGCCGGCGCCCGGTCTCTGCCAAAATTCCCGACTCGGACTCGGAGGCGAGCAGTCCGCCGCACGCGCGCAGTCCGCGCCTCTCGCTGGGCAGGAACAGCTACACGCCGGTCAGCCAGGACTCACAGCATCGCCGGCCGGCCAGCGGGACCCTGAGCAGCTCCGGACTGAAACGTGCGTACCCCGAGCGCAGCGACAGCGCCAGCCACAGAACCCCGACTAGATGGAGAAGGAAAAGGTCGGCACAGGTCGGGAATGGAACAAATGTGATAGGAGTCAAAGGTCCGAAAGGGCAAGGGGGACCGAAAAAACAAAGAAGGCCTGAGAGGGGGACAATGAAAGGAGAAGTATGGCGATGGAATCATCACGAGGAAACTGATAAGGATAGATACGGGATAGAAGCGTTACGGAGATATATGTAGAGGGGACGGAATGAGGATGAGTGGCGAACCTAACGCAGAACGGTACACAAATGGATTAATAAAGCGGCCAAATGTTCTGAACAGGATAGACAGAGAGTAGGGGTAGGACTCAAAGGGATGACGGGGTCTATTGTCTAATCTCGGGCGGTGCCTATCTCGGACGATGGGATCTAACCTCCAAACTCCCGGGGGAATTCGAGACGGATGAAGCGTTCAGTGAGGAGACGCACCAAACTGGCAAACACATCTGGAAACCCGTGGGGTCCTGCTGAATCTACTCACAAACGGATTCTGTGCAAACAGTGGAGATCGGAGTTGCGAAAGCCGACTGCCCGAAAAAACGGTCTCTCTCGCTCTCTGTCTGTCTCTGTCTCTGTCTGTCTCTCTGTCTGTCTCTCTGTCTGTCTCTCTGTCTGACTCTCTGTCTGTCTCTCTGTCTCTCTGTCTCTCTGTCTGTCTGTCTCTCTGTCTCTCTGTCTCTCTGTCTCTCTGTCTCTCTCTCTCTCTCTGTCTCTCTCTCTCTCTGTCTCTCTCTCTCTCTCTCTCTCTCTCTCTCTCTCTCTCTCTCTCTCTCTCTCTCTCTCTCTGTCTCTCTCTATGTCTCTCTCTCTCTGTCTCTCTCTCTCTCTCTTTGTCTCTCTCTCTCTCTCTCTCTGTCTCTCTCTCTCTCTCTCTGTCTCTCTCTCTCTCTGTCTCTCTCTCTCTCTCTGTCTCTCTCTGTCTCTCTCTCTCTCTCTGTCTCTCTCTGTCTCTCTCTGTCTCTCTCTCTCTCTCTCTCTCTGTCTCTCTCTCTGTCTCTCTGTCTGTCTCTCTCTCTCTCTCTCTCTCTCTCTCTCTCTCTCTCTCTCTCTCTCTCTCTCTCTCTCTCTCCCTCTGTCTCTCTCTCTGTCTCTCTCTCTCTCTCTCTGTCTCTGTCTCTCTCTGTCTCTGTCTCTCTCTGTCTCTGTATCTGTCTCTGTCTCTGTCTGTCTCTGTCTCTGTCTCTATCTGTCTCTATCTGTCTCTGTCTGTCTCTGTCTGTCTCTGTCTCTCTCTGTCTCTGTCTCTCTCTCTCTCTCTCTCTCTCTCTCTCTCTCTCTCTCTCTCTCTCTCTCTCTCTCTCTCTCTCTCTCTCTCTCTCTCTCTCTCTCTCTCTCTCTCTCTCTCTCCTAATACTGTTTCCAATGCAGCATTAGACCCGGACCTGTTTGCAGCGACTAGCGCCACCTGCGTAGTGCGCCAGTGTCGGTGATGAGCTCACTGCGCCACCTAGGTGACTGACCCTGCCGGCTTTGTTGCAGTCTCCAACCTGCTGACATTCGACGAGTCACGGCTGATCGACATCAAGCGTCAGCGGAGCCGGGCGCCGCCGGCCGGGCCGCTGGGGCGCACCTCGCGCGCCCATTCCATCTCGTCGGCCAGCTGCGCCGAGGTGGCGCGCTCGCCGCCGCCGCTCGCCGCCCTGCTGCACTGCTCCATGAACGACCTGAGCCAGGCACCGGCCACCAGCGTGACGCACGGCGCGCCGCTGCTCGTGCAGCCGGCCGCGCACGCGCCCAACCTGGACTCGGCGCCGGCGGCCGCCAAGCCCGGCTGCCACTACTCCAAGAGCGTGGAGGCGGTGGTGGTGACCACGCCGTCCGGCTGCTGCCGGCCGCAGCCGGCCAAGGGCGGCAGTGCCGTCTGCGGCCTACTCTAGCCGCCCCGCCGACCACCGCCGGCCGTCCACCGATCTCAGGCGCGAGACGCCGTCCCCTGTCCACCAGTGTTCTGTTTCATTTGGAACATAAATGACCGTCACTGACCGCCTGCGACCGACAGAGAGCTGTAGGTGAGCTTCACAGACACGTCCAGAGAACAGTTCCATCCGAGCTTCGAATGACCTCCCGAAGAACGGTCTGGCTTATATAATAATCGTTCAGCCTATAAAAGACGTAAAAAGCCGAGGCGTCGCGTGTGATTTGAGCGAAGGTTGTCTGTAAGCCGTTGTAGAATGAATCTCTGGGCTATTTTCACCAGCATGATTAATGATTATGTGACCAACCCACTACTACATGCATAAATAAGACTGACGTGGATCATGTTACGTGCAAGGTTCTGGCGGGAGACAGCGGGCGGGGCCAGTGGGCGGGTCAGGCTGTAGCACTGGAACAGCGGTTGGGGATAGCGGGTGGGTCAGGATGTGGCGCCACAGTCAGTGTGCGGATCAGGCTGAAACGGCCACTGACCAGACCGACAAACAGCTATGAGGATCGAGTGTCACGGGAAGGAACTCGTCCTCTCAGAGCGTAAGACACCAACGGTCTCTGGTGTGCCAGCGGACTGAGATCGCCGTGTCAACGCGTGAGATGCCAACGCCAAACCCCCGCCAGCGATCCCCACCCATTCAACTGAAGACTATCTTACCAAGTGCCGTATTTTCATAGTTACGATATTTTGTAACATGCAAGATGATACCGGGGTGGGCAAATTCGTATCAAAGTCAACTAAACGATTCTTGGCCACGTGTACGTATCGTCACAAACATCACGGGCACAATTATCTAGCCTCTAGAATGCGTAAAAAACATCTCGCAAATAATTGTCCTATAAATATCGGAAAATTGCCATAAAAATAATTGCTGCTTACTCCTTTCAACGGCATTTCTAAACCATTTGGACCCTATAGAGAGGCTCTTCCGGCTAGGTTTGGCGCATACATTACGTACCTCATGAAATACATTTGTGGAAATAAGATATCAATATATATATTTGGTATGATTCAGCGAACACTTATGTTCCAAAAGTCGTCGGTAACAGCCAGTTCGATCATTTCCGTCATGTGTAGGCATGGTGTATGCAATGCTACATGCCATATAAAAATATTTGACTCTTAAGATGGTGATTTACAAAGCACACGATTCCAAAGCGACACTCGAAGAGCTTTAATTACAAGTAGAGATCAAAGATACGTGCCACTTCATGAACAACAATTTTTTGGCCCTTGAAGCTTTAAATCACTATCACGTTAGCTACAATAGCAGCACAAATGTGGCAAGGCATAGATGCAAGGCAAGAAAAGACACACAACAAGCAGGGCCCGAGGCAGGTTTTCATGAAACACTTCAGCTTCATGAAAAGGCATGCAGCGATCAACCTAAGCGATCGCCTGTCGCTGGAAGAGCACCGATCACGAAAGCACAGTTCCCTCAGTCCATTCCTTACAAATGGATGTCACTAAGCAAGGTGGGTGGCACGACACATAAGCTCGGGTTTTGAGTAAGACAAACGCGAATCCCAGGCCTTCCATCAGAGATATTGATACTTGATAGCACCTGAATGCCGGTCCGGTAAGGTCCAATGAATAATACAAAAATATGCAACGCATGCCAGCAAACATCACGATAGCCTACGCTCATCCATACGGATAAAATGGCCAGTGAATGAAATGCGCTTCCCAACATGTCGCAAAAACATCAAACTAGTAACAATATCGTAATTCGTAGGTATCGTATAGTAAAACCACGCGCTCGGAAAACGAGGACTTTCGGCAGAACAGTGTGACTGAAGTCCATTCAGACCTCAGTTGAAAAGCACAAACGCTACAACGCCTCGGCGGCAACCACTCTCTCTTTTGCCGCCGAATCACTTGCTTCTGCGGCGCACTCCTCACAGACGTTCTCCCACTCCGCAGGCGCCCGTTTCATGTAGAGCCGGCCACCCGGATGGAAGCACTCGTGCTCGAGGCCGTGGCACAGGAGGCCGACCAGGAACAGTCCCGGGAACAGACACACGAACGTGCGCCCCGTGCCCAGCGCATACGCCGCATACACGAGGGCCTCCACGAAAAAGCTTACGGAATAGTAGAAGGCGTACCGATATCTCGCGGGGTCATCCTTGACGTTGAACATCCCAAAGATGTGCAGGTACGCCATCAAAGCGTGGTAGAAGCGTTCCTGTTTCCAGTTCTCCGTGAATTCCGTCTCCATGAAGTGGAACCAGATGATGCACACTATGAAAGCGCCGACGCAGACGCAGATGCCGTACGTTATGCCGAGGTGGAAGAGACAGGCCAGCGCGAAGACTCTGGAGGCCAGGAAGCAGATCCTGTAGAGGACCTGCAGAACGGTGCTGGCATAGGAGAGCTCCTGCTTGTCGTGACGGTGACTGCGGCAGTGCTGGCCCATCGAGAAGGTGCTCAGCGCCAGCGACACCAACACCAGCGCACCGAACACCATCTCCAAGAGCGCGCTCTCCACGCCAGTCCAGTTACTCAACAGCTTGTAGATCTTGACGACGAGCTGCGAGGCTGAGCCGGCATACACTGCCACCAGCCGTAAAAACGACAGGTCCGCCTGAGCCAGGAAAAAGCGATGGTAGTAGGAGGCGCCTTTTTCTTTGCTGCGGGTGCCGCACGCTATTTTTCCTATTTCGCCCATGCGAATGGGCACTGCTAAGAGAAGGCAGTGTCCTGCGGTGTTGGTCCAGGAGACGAAGGATTCACCGCTGTCATTGCGATACCACCAGAACGAGAACAGGTTGATGGGCACTTGGGGGAGCACCACCGCCGTGAGCAGGATGGAGAAATACCACCACTCATCACTGGAAGCGTAGTTGACGAGTGATTTGATGTTCATTGCAAACGTGCCGATGTATGAGCCAATGCCTATAACGTACATAACCCAGAAAAATATTCCAATATCTGGGGCATGCGGTTGAAGCCAGCCTTCTTTAGTAGCGAGCTTGCGCAACCACTGACAGCACATCTTGACCACTGACAATTCATTCACTTGAGGGATACTCTTGGGTCCCAGGTCACCAGCTGCAACGGAGACACAAGCCTTTAGTTACAACCAGGGTTACTTTTACAGGAAAAGTTAAGAGGGGGATTAGAGTTCGGGGCAAAGGCGGATCCAGATTCCAGGGGCATCTGGAAGGGGGGGGGGCAATGCAATGGTTTTGATTTGATTTGATGGGGCAATGGTTTTGATTAGGACGGGGCCCGCAGAACCTTACCTACCCCAAATCCTATTCTCTCCCCGGATTTCAGTCACTTTATTTTGTAAGGTTGCCAAAAAATAAATTTGCTTAAAGGTAGTGTGCCAGCTTTCCTGGACCGTATGGAGTTAATGGCCCAGATAAGGAGAACCGGATTTTTAGAAGTTATCCATACCTTCAAAACTCATGGAAACGTCTTAAATTCTTCAAATTTTGAGTACCCCAGTGCGAAATTCGCCCCGACGGGTTGTCGGTCGTACCCCAACCACATTTCACACCACTATGAACAATAAACTCACACACTGAAATCGCTATTACCGATATGCTCATCCAATCAGGTTTCGATAAACCCGTTCATCATCATCTCCTGCGGTTTCGAACACGCCTGTTAGGTGGTGCGGTAGACCGCGCCCAAAGCCAGGGCCCCGGTAACGTGAGGTAGCCGAGTCGGGGCAGCGTGCGCTGACCCAAGCCGGGGCCGCGCGTCCTCCCGGTGTCATGTGATAGGTAGCCCGGGGCTGCCCGCGGAGATGCGGTAGACCGCGCCCAAAGCTGCGGCCCCGGCTTGGGTCAGCGCACGCTGCCCCGACTCGGCTACCTCACGTTACCGGGGCCCTGGCTTTGGGCGCGGCTTCTGCTCATACTTTGTGGTGCGGTGGTGGTGCGTCGGGCCGCGCGCTCTGACTTCGGCCAAAAAAAATGTGTCAGCTGATCATTGTCATTTCTGCCACTTGCGTGTGGTGAAATGGGGTCATAACTTAAGGGACGGCTTTTTCATATCAATTATTTTACATAAAATCATATTTCAAACCATAAATAATGTTCGACAGCCAAATAAAAGAAACAATACCAATACAGGCTTACAGTTTAAGGCTCGACGTTGTGTTGTCTACGATTAGACAGCTGATATTCATTCCCGTACGTCGTAACTCTATAATGACCTTTGCTTATTGTCACATGTGCGCCGCATTCGCGATTGTTGCCGACGCCTGTTTGCAGGTCAGCCCACTACAGTTGTTATACATATCAAAAAACCGATAAACTTTTAGGCGAAAAAGGCACTATTCCAGGCCCATTTTTGATTTTTTTTTTTACGATATTAGGTAAAAACAGAAGCTTCTTATCCTAGGAAAAATAAAATGGGAAATCTTTCAAAGGTGGCACACTACCTTTAAGAAATATATGCACATACCATGGCGGTAAGGGGTGGGGGAGGTCCCGACTTGACTGCGCCCTTTCAAATGCCAATCAGTAGTATCAACCTATACCCTAGCCAAACATGAATCCTCGCCGGACTTATTTTTGAATCAAGTACCCACTTACCCGCAAGGAAATCAGACAGGTATAGACCCGAGCCTATGAGTAGGCACACCTGTCGGTAGTAGTAGAGCAGACGTCACACAGAGGTTTTCCAACCAAGGAGAGGCACTTTACCAGGAGGCGCTTCTTTCTAACAAAACCTAAACAAACTTTGAAACAATACCTGACCTATCCTTACCTCATCTACAACCTAAAACCTAAAAACCTACAACCTAAAAAACCTATCCTACAACCTGCAAACATACAGCGCCTCTCCTCGGTTGGAAAACCTTCGTGTGACGTCTGGTCTACCAATGCCAGCCTGTCTATCACCGACAGCCCTCGGACAATTGGGACTAAGGTGTGGAATGGCTAGTTGATCTTCAGGCTCCTCACTATAAAAGTTGAATCTGCAGTGGACCGTGTCCAAGTGAGGCGACTGACGTTTTTTTCAGTGGGTTTTGTCAGGGCTCGAAAAGACTGATCAGGTTATTTATAGGCCTGCTGCCCGAGGGACACTGCAAACACCCATGCCGCACAATGTACTCGGGTGATTATGTTCGGGTGGCAGCCGGCAGGGGCTCTGCCACGGTAGGTATTGGGATTGGGGGGGGGGGGACCCAAAACACAAAACCTCACTGGCAGATCCAGGGTGGCATTCAGGGGGAGGTCTCCCCCCACACTCCAAAGTGCACGAAATCGATGAAAAATTGTCATTTTTCTAAAGTACAAGTTAAGTTTAGTTTATTGGGCATATCATTAACTGGCAGGGCAGCCCAATTACACAGTCACATATTAAAAATAAATATATGGTAGGAGACACACATATATAAATACCTTGACCAAAGGCCTCTCAGACTTCAGAGACTTCAGATTGTCCCGCATCAACCCCCTAAGGTTTTTTCGCGAATAACTCGCGTAAAAAGCGACCGATCGCGACGAAACTTTCAGTACCCTCGCATTGATCAATTTTACACCTACCCTGAAAATTTCATGACCCTGACCCAAATGACCTTTGACCTGTGACCTCTTTCCCGAGACCATGTTTGGCCGGAATTGCGATTCAGCATATGTCGGCTCGCATTAGCCGCGAGTTTGCAAGCTTTTCGTGGTTTCAAACCTTCAAACATGGAACTACAATGAAAACGCTTGGTTATGATGGCCTCTCCGACCTGTGATTTCATGTTGCTCCCATGCATTAGGGTGGGTGTCAAGGTCACCTGAAGGTCAGGTCAGGTCTAGTCCTTTGGTGACCCTGGTTAACTTTTACGAGTTTTACATGTTTCTAGGCTAGTTTTTGGAGCTGAATTCGAATTTAGCAGCCATTATAACATTTACGAAGTAGTTTTGGTGCCTTCGTAACATGTTACGGAGCTGTCAGAGCCTCAGAGGCGGATGACAGGTAAGTACTACGAATACCCACCACGGGCACGACCCCCTACCAGTTGACCTGACCTGACCTGACCTGGTCTTAACGCTTAACGACATCATCTGTGATCAAAACTAACACGATATTCGTGATCAGCAGACAGCACCCCATAAAACCCTTGGCAGCCACACTTTACGACTTTCTAACAGGTCCCGATATTCCCGATTTTTGGGTCATTGACCTGATCTGGAAGGTCAACCGATGACCTAGGACCTTGAAATTGGGTAGCATTGGCTTCATCTCGTGACAGGCAACACGCTCGTTTTTACCGCGAAGCTCTAGCTCCATCAGGGGCCAAGCGCGAGGGGGGTCGTACCAACCCCCTTGTGCCGTCGAAGGACTCAAAATGGCCGGTCGGAGAGGCCATCGTAACCTAAAATGGCCTGTGACGGCAATGGTTTAAGTCATTGGATCAGTCCAAGATCAGCCGAAGTGTGGTCCCTCCTATATAGATAGGTTTATATAGCCTTGATAGTAGGGTGACAGCTATTCTCTGATTTTTTGAAAAAGCAAAAAGGCAGTTCATTTTATGGTTCCATATAGCATAAAAACATCACATGCAAAGTTTCATCCGGATCGGATGATATTTAACCGTGCCTCCTCGAACTTGAATGTATACGTTTTTATCTATTGGGCCAGCAGTGTAGACCTTTCTGGTATGTAAACCATAAGCAGTGTTTCTCAGCTATTCATAACGATGCAATCATAAAACAAAAGACTGTGGTACAGGAAAACTAGTGATGTATTTTAAAACGATTAAAAAAAAACTGAGATAAGACTCAATGCGTCTTGTGGCAGTTCAAGGCCCTATATAGAGTGGCAGTTGGCAAACTTGGACCTCCTGAAAAATATGAGCATCTGCGTCGAATGCTATCGCGCATTACTGCAGATGCCGGGTGACGGTGCCTTTGCTAGCGTTTGGAAACCTTCCACGGTGTGCCTCCACTGCACCTGCACGATGTACTGCCCATGGTCCTCATCCATGGTGAGGGTCAAATTGTACGCTTCCATCAGAGCTACGCCACGCTCGGCGAAGTCGTTCAACACCGTGATGCCGTTGGCCTTCCCCGCTGCGGCGACATAGCGGGGGTCGTCATGCCACTCGGCACTCGGCAGGGTCGGTCTCGAGGAAGCCGTCGTCAATTCCAAGAGTGACGAAGAACGTCCGCGACGATGTGGTCACGAAGTCTGCGCGGGTGTTCTGCGTCAGGTCTGCGCTGAGATCAACGACGGCCCGCTTGGTCCTCCGAGCCTTCGTTCGAGGCGAGGGCCTCAACCATGGCCCGCTTTCCATGCATTGGTAGGCTCCCGTCAAAGAACGCCAACGGGACTAGGCTCTCACTCAGATACCTTAAGTGACGTCGGGCGAAGCCGCTGAGGAGTGTCTTTGCGTGGGACTTGTCCTTGTACCTGGCCAACGTCTTCAGAAGGGAGAGGTCGTTCTTAGGGGGGTTTCGTCAGAAGGGGAGAGGTCGTTCTTGGTCGTTGATTCGTCAAGTTTGCCGTGTCGGTCTACATTTCCGCGTGGTACACCGCGCCGAGCCCAACATCGGCGCGTAAGAACGACCACTCCCTTCTGAAGACGTTGGCCAGGTACGAGGACAAGTCCCTCGCCAAGACGCTCCTCAGCGGCTTCGTCCGACGTCACTTGTGGTATCTGAGTGACGGCCTCGTCCCGTTGGCGTTCTTTGACGAGAGCCCCTACCATTGCATGGAAGGCGGGCCATTGTTGAGGCCCTCGCCTCGAACGAGGGCTCGTAGGACTTTTACCAAGAGGGCCGACGTTGATCTCAGCGCAAACCTGACGCAGAAGACCCTCGCAAACTTCGTGACCACATCGTCGCGGACGTTCTTCGTCACTCTTGGAATTGACGACGGCTTCCTCGAGCCCGACCCTGCCGAGCGGCATGACGACCCCCGCTATGTCGCCGCAGCGGGGAAGGCCAACGGCATCACGGTGTTGAACGACTTCGCCGAGCGTGGCGTCGCTCTGATGGAAACGTACAACTTGACCCTCACCAAGGATGGGACCAGAGGTAGTACAACCTGCAGGCGGTAGAGGCACACCATGGAAAGTTTCCGAACGTTAATAAAGGCACCGTCCCCCGGAATCTGCAGTAATGAGCGATAGCATTCGACGCAGATGCTCAGACTCGTCAGGAGGTCCAAGTTTGCCAACTGCCACAAGACGCATTGAGTCTTATCTCAGTTTTTTTATCGTTTTACAATGCATCACTAGTTCTCGTGTACCACCGTCTTTTGTTTCATGATTGCATCGTTATGAATAGCTGAGAGACGATGCTTATGGTTTACATACCAGAAAGGTCTACACTGCTGGCCCAATGGCTAAAAGCGTACACATTCAAGTTTGAGGAGGCACGGTTAAATATAATCCGATCCCGATGAAACTTTGGGTATATGTCAAGTTTAGGTCCTAACTACAATTGTGGCACTTTTGATACGAATATGAAACAGCAAAAACTTTAGGTTTTAGGTTAGGTTAGGTTGTAGGTTTGTAGGTTTTAGGTTGTAGGTAGGTAGGTTTGTAGGTTAGGTTAGGTTAGGGTAGGTTTGTAGGTGGTAGGTTGGTAGGTTATAGGTAAGTAGGTAAGGTTAGGTCAGGTTTGATTATGTTTTTTTCTTTTATTTGCGAGACATATGAGTATCATTTTTGGATTCAGGATGTCAAATAATGTAAAAATATGAAAAATTTATCAATGAAATCTTCTTAGGACTTAAACTTGACATTTACCAAACTTTGCATATGATGTTTTTATATGAGACCATAAAATGAACTGCTTTTTTGCTTTTTCAAAAAATCAGAAAATAACTGTCGCCCTACTTGATAGGCAGTTAACAGTTATCTCACCTGGTTCAGACTAGAGTTCCAGTCCTTGCTGGTTCCTATCAAAGACAAAACCTTGGACTAAGCAAACTGTATACACCGCGTATACGTACTAAAAAAAAAAATAATAATCATCAGCAACCATCCACGACTGCTGTCAATTTAGCAGCAGTTTGATTATCCAACTACAGTTTGATATTCAGGGTGCGCCGATTTCGCCCAAACCTACCCCAGGGACCAAGTCTGTCACGCTGAGCACGAATCTGGTGTCAGAAATCCGCTATTCTCAACCGATCACCCAAATTTACCGTTTTTGAGTTCGTCCATCTACAGATTGACAAACTCCAGGGGCCCTCGATTTCGCCTAAAAATGGGTCTAGGGGACCAAGTCTGACACGCTGAGCACGAATCTGGTGTCAGAAATCCACTATTCTCAACCGATCACCCAAATTTTCCGTTTTGAGTTCGTCCATCTACAGATTGACAAACCCCAGGGGCCCTCGAATTCGCCCTCAAATGGATCTAGGGGATGGAGTCTGACACGCTGAGCACGAATCTGGTGTCAGAAATCCGCTATTCTCAACCGATCACCCAAATTTACCGTTTTTGAGTTCGTCCATCTACAGATTGACAAACTCCAGGGGCCATCGATTTTGCCGAAAAATGGGTCTACGGGACCAAGTATGACTCACTGAGCACGAATCTGGTGTCAGAAATCCGCTATTCTCAACAGATCACCCAAATTTACCGTTTTTGAGTTCGTCCATCTACAGATTGACAAACTCCAGGGGCCCTTTATTTCGCCCAAAAATGGGTCTAGGGGACCAAATCTGACACGCTGAGCACGAATCTGGTGTCAGAAATCCGATATTCTCAACAGATCACCCAAATTTACCGTTTTTAAGTTCGTCCATCTACAGATTGACAAACTCCAGGGGCCCTCGATTTCGCCCAAAAATGAGTGTAGGGGGCCAAGTCTGACACGCTGAGCACGAATCTGGTGTCAGGAATCCGTTATTCTCAACCGATCACCCAAATTTACCGTTTTTTAGTTCGTCCATCTACAGATTGACAAACTCCAGGGGCCCTCGATTTCGCCCAAAAATGGGTCTAGGGGACCAAATCTGACACGCTGAGCACGAATCTGGTGTCAGAAATCCACTATTCTCAACCGATCACCCAAATTTACCGTTTTTGAGTTCGTCCATTTACAGATTGAAGGGGCCATCGATTTTGCCGAAAATGGGTCTACGGGACCAAGCCTGACACGCTGAGCACGAATCTGGTGTCAGAAATCCGCTATTCTCAACAGATCACCCAAATTTACCGTTTTTGAGTTCGTCCATCTACAGATTGACAAACTCCAGGGGCCCTCGATTTCGCCCAAAATGGGTACAGGTGTGTAGCCACTCTTACACACCTGCACCAACGTTTCCCAAAGTGTCCCTTTGATAAGTGGCACTTTGGCAAAGTGACACTTGCCGACTGGCCTTTCTATATGAACTGGGCCCGGCCCTGGTGAGTTGCCGGGGCTGCGCCTGACCAAAGGATAGGCCGAGCAGCCCCCAACACTCACCGCACCCTGCTACGGGCGAGCTCGGCTTACGGGCAATCCCAAATGGGATAAAGTTTCCCGTCCAGTCCGGATCAGGGGGTTGCGGCGTGGAGGAAGATTTGAGTTTCCTGAGGATATTTTGAATACAGAAGCTCTTTATGAAACATGAAACATGTATTTTATATTATTTTAACGGTCAAAACAGCGGCCGATGTCGGTCCGACGTCGCCCCGACGTCGGCCCGACGTCGGCTGGACCTCAGCAATTGATCTCGGTCCGACGTCGGCCCGACGTCGGCTGGACCTCGGCTGGACGTCGGTACATGCAGGCATATCCGACATCCAGCCGACGTCGTGCCGAGGTTGGACCGGCCGATGCCGAGATGCCGACGTCACCCCGACGTCGGCCGACGTCGGGCCGACGTCGGCATGTTTACTGGGTAAACTCTAGGGGCCCTCGATTTCGCCCAAAAATGGGTCTAGGGGACCACGTCTGACACGCTGTTGTTATAGTCGGACTTTTGTAGATGGACGAACTCAAAAACGGTAAATTTGGGTGATCGGTTGAGAATAGCGGATTTCTGACACCAGATTCGTGCTCAGCGTGTCAGACTTGGTCCCCTAAACCCATTTTGGGCGAAATCGAGGGCCCCTGGAGTTTGTCAATCTGTAGATGGACGAACTCAAAAACAGTAAATTTGGGTGATCTGTTGAGAATAGCGGATTTCTGACACCAGAATCGTGCTCAGCGTGTCAGACTTGGTCCCATAGACCCATTTTTCGGCAAAATCGATGGCCCCTGGAGTTTGTTAATCTGTAGATGGACGAACTCAAAAACGGTAAATTTGGGTGATCGGTTGAGAATAGCGGATTTCTGACACCAGATTCGTGCTCAGCGTGTCAGACTTCATCCCCTAGATCCATTTGAGGGCGAATTCGAGGGCCCCTGGAGTTTGTCAATCTGTAGATGGACGAACTCAAAAACGGAAAATTTGGGTGATCGGTTGAGAATAGTGGATTTCTGACACCAGATTCGTGCTCAGCGTGTAAGACTTGGTCCCCTAGACCCATTTTTGGGCGAAATAAAGGGCCCCTGGAGTTTGTCAATCTGTAGACGGACGAACTCAAAAACGGTAAATTTGGGTGATCGGTTGAGAATAGCGGATTTCTGACACCAGATTCGTGCTCAGCGTGTCAGACTTGGTCCCTGAGACCCATTTTTGGGCGAAATCGAGGGCCCCTGGAGTTTGTCAATCTGTAGATGGACGAACTCAAAAACGGTAAATTTGGGTGATCGGTTGAGAATAGCGGATTTTCGACACCAGATTCGTGCTCAGCGTGTCAGACTTGGTCCCCTAGACCCATTTTTGGGCGAAATCGAGGGCCCCTGGAGTTTGTCAATCTGTAGATGGACGAACTCAAAAACGGTAAATTTGGGTGATCTGTTGAGAATATCGGATTTCTGACACCAGATTCGTGCTCAGCGTGTCAGACTTCATCCCCTAGATCCATTTGAGGGCGAATTCGAGGGCCCCTGGAATTTGTCAATCTGTAGATGGAAGAACTCAAAAACGGTAAATTTGGGTGATCGGTTGAGAATAGCGGATTTCTGACACCAGATTCGTGCTCAGCGAGTCATACTTGGTCCCGTAGACCCATTTTTCGGCAAAATCGATGGCCCCTGGAGTTTGTCAATCTGTAGATGGACGAACTCAAAAACGGTAAATTTGGGTGATCGGTTGAGAATAGCGGATTTCTGACACCAGATTCGTGCTCAGCGTGTCAGACTTGGTCCACTAGACCCATTTTTGGGCGAAATCGAGGGCCCCTGGAGTTTGTCAATCTGTAGATGGACGAACTCAAAAACGGTAAATTTGGGTGATCGGTTGAGAATAGCGGATTTCTGATACCAGATTCGTGCTCAGCGTGTCAGACTTCGTTCCCTAGACCCATTTTTGAGCGAAATCGAGGGCCCCTGGAGTTTGTCAATCTGTAGATGGACGAACTCAAAAACGGTAAATTTGGGTGATCGGTTGAGCATAGCGGATTTCTGACACCAGATTCGTGCTCAGCGTGACAGACTTGGTCACTGGGGTAGGTTTGGGCGAAATCGGCGCACCCTGAATATCAAACTGTAGTTGGATAATCAAACTGCTGCTAAATTGACAGCAGTCCATCCACGGGGCAAGGCGGGTGGGACTAAATGCTTACTTCGAAATCTAAGCTACGTTGCGGCATTGGCGGTTATGTGCGGCGTGTATGCCGCATGATTAGTAAGCGGCGACCACTAAATTAAAGACTCAAACGCTCCGACCGGTTCTCAATGAATAACACTGCATACCAAAAATGCCAACCGCTCTCGTCATAAGATATTCAGCTTTAAATAACTAGGTTATCTATATCATCATTTTGAACCAAATTAATACTTTCAACTTAACTCACTCATTCCTTCCTTTGTTGTCTCCAAACAGTCTTTCGATTGTCTGGAAATCGTATGCTAAATCCCGTACCTGTATGCGACTGGTGCATATAAAGGCCGATAAAAGAATTTGAATAGGCTCTGGCATGCGATTTCCTGGCTACCCAAAAAAGTCTGTTTCAGTCTTGCTATCAAAACATGACCTCGCCCGCACAGGGGGGGGGGGGGGTGATGCAACCCCCCTAAGGTTTTTCGCGAATAACTCGCTTAAAAAGCGGCTGATCGCGACGAAACTTTCAGTACCCTCGCATTGATCAATTTAACACCCATCCTTAAAATTCCATGACCCTGACCCAAATGACCTTTGACCTGTGACCTACTTTTCGAGACCATGTTTGGCCGGAACCGCGATTCAGCGTATGTCGGCTCGCATTAGCAGCGCGTTTGCAGTCTTTTCGTGGTTTCAAGCGTTCAAACATGTGATATGATGTTGCCCCCATGCATTAGGGTGGGTGTCAAGGTCACCTGAAGGTCAGGTCAGGTCATTGACCTTTGGTGACCTCGGTTCACTTTTTCGAGTTTGACATGTTTCTAGGTCAGTTTTTTCGAGCTGAATTCGAATTAAGCAACCACATGAACGTTTACAAAGTAGTTTTGGTGCCTTCGTAACATGTTACGAGGCTGTCAGAGGCGGTTGACACCTACTACAAATACCTGGCATGACCTCTACTGGTTGACCTGACCTGACCTAACCCGACCTGGCCTAAATGAATGAAGACATCATCTGTGATCAAAACTAGCATGATATTCGTGATCAGCACCCCGAAAAAAACCATAGCAGCCACACTACGACGTTCTAACAGGTCCCAATTTTCCCGCCTTTTGGGTCATTGACCTGACCTGGAAGGTCAACCGATGACCTAGGACCTTAAAATTGGGTATCATCGGCTTTCTCTCGTCACGGGCAACACGCTCGTTTTTTCCGCGAAGCTCTAGCTTGATCAGGAGCGAAACGGCAAGGGGTTATACCTTATACGTTCGCGGCTGAGTATTAATTTGGTTCAAAA